AATATGACCATAGTTACTGTAGTGCAAATACATCTAAGATCAATACAGCTGATAAGTAGCTATAGGATACTCCTTAGGCTACTATTTATGCCCTTATGAGGCATTTTTATATCTGTCACTTCATTTACACTAACAGGCTTGTGTTGCTTTAACTATACCCACTCACATACAGACATGGTTTGCAATAATCATGGCCCTGCTACATCCAAGCAGGAGAACTAGCTTAATAATGAAGAAAACAATATGTTACAGCAAAGTCGGGTATTTAAAAATAATGTGCACCACTAAACTTTTCATATAGCCACACTGACCTGTTTCTTGTTAAGCAACTTTTTGTAACTAAATGACTTAGAAGTTTTAGGATAAGTGGATTGATGACAGTCTTTCAAGGACTTATGTTATATTTGTAGTTCACCTTTAAGGATTGTCTTCATAAGTGCTTTCTCTAGAATGAAAACAGCTAGTAGGATGCTTAAGATTAAAATACACTCCTTGAATGTTAAACTACTAGTTTTGTGTAGCCAGGCTCAGTGGCCTAAGTGTTTTACTTCAGAATGCTGAAAGCATATTATCTTTTGGCAACTACAGTATGACTCTTAATAAATAATGTGTCTTTTAAACATATAGAATATGCTTGAATTGCTAGAAGAAATGCCAAATGGAGTTCCACCAGAAAAAGTGAAAAGCTATATCTACCAGCTAATTAAAGCAATTCATTGGTGCCATAAGAACGATATTGTTCATAGAGGTAAGTGTGTAGTTCCCCACGTGGAAATAAGCCCCGAGTAGGAATTTGCTTTCTAAAGGGAAAGATGTTACAGCTTGAAGTAATTTGCATTTAACATAAATAAAAGCAATTGCTTTATATCAACAAGAAAAAAAAATCTGTAAATTTGGCTGAGTCTTAAGTCTGCTGCGTGACTTCAGATCATTTTAAAACTAAATTAATCTACATATAAAGTTTGCTGTCCACTGTCTTCGGGGTATGATATAAAGATTGTATCATATGCACAGCAAAGTAAAACTGCAGTACAGACATTGCCGAAGGTGAAGGAATTTTTTTAAACATTTCATGGTGCTCAAGTCATTTTAGTTTTGAATCTATAACAGAATATTAGGAGAAAATAACCCAGAACTTAAAGCTTGGTCCCCCATATTTTACTACTTAAGGCAGTTCCTCCCAGCTCCCACGAGTTCAACTCTGTATATTTACTTTCTCACCTAAACTTCAAGCACTTAGAGTACATATCTTGATGTGTGACTTTATCTAGTTTTATGTATTTTATCTTGATTTAATAAAAGCGTATTTTGCTTTGTGGCTTTGCAAGAGTAACATTTGTAATTAATGTTTCAAATAAACTAAAATTCTCATACAATATACTATTTATATTTGAGACTGATCAGACGTAAGCAAGAGTCTGAAAATATTTTGTAAAATATAATTTGAAAAATATACCATATGTGGATACCACAATATCCACATAGGAATGAAAAAATGGGTTTGAAACTAGACAACACTTTTTTTATTCTAAACAAATGACAAGAGATGATCAAGAAGATCATAACTGAAAATGTTGAGCACAACACACTTAACATTTTATTGGTTAAATGACTAATTGAATGTCAGTTCTTTGTATTATTTTGCAATATGCAGTATTCTGCATACTGGTTTGCTGCCCAGGAATATCTGTAAGCACCTTTTATCTTCCCATTTTTTGTTGGGAAACACTTTAGAAGACTTCAAAAGGCAGAAAATTAATTCTGCATGTTCACAAACTGAATTGCTCGAAGCTGTTTCAGCAGTTGCTCTTGTAATGTTCGTTTATGATTGCATAAATATCTCTAAATATGTTATAATTAAATAATATTTGTTGACAAAGTTGAAAATTCAAAAGAGAAGTTGACAACATTTTTTTTTTTTTCCTCTCTCACTCTGATACTCCAGATATCAAGCCAGAGAATCTCTTAATAAGCCACAATGATGTTCTGAAGTTGTGTGACTTCGGTAAGTTCAATAGATACCTGCTTCTTACCTTTTTAAATAAAATCTCTTGCAATGGAGTTTTGCCTTATTCTTATAAGAGTTCTACAGTATGTACTGTTTAAAACACTTTTAGTGGTCAGAATATTTATTACTTCTTCAGGCTTATGGCTGGTACTTTAACAGGAAAGATGTCTGGGCTTAATTTGCATACCCTGTGAAATACCTGTATTAACATGTCAATAGAAACATTGCATTTATCTCTTCCTATATTTGACAAGGTTTTTCCTAGCAGTATTATTGGCACCCAGCTGAGAACAGTGCAGATGATAAGCCAATTAGAAGGTTAGCAAAACTGTAGGTTTATCTGGCCTGCATATTAAAAGAAAATATAATTCTTCCTTGTTTAGTAAAGAGACAATAAACTTACACTTTTTATATCTTTTTTGAACCACTGGCTTTCATGGACTGTTATGTGTGTAGTTACAGGTCAGCTTTTGCTGTTGTGTTAATCAAGGGATCATGTGTCCACATATGGTTAATGACAGAACTGCGGGAAGTTAGTCAGAGCTGTACATGCAATGTTAACTCTGATGTTTCCTGACCAATCCTCCCTGTTCAATCCCAGCTTTAAGGCTTTGAAATATCAGCACCTAAGCACGAGGCGAACTTTGCCCATGTGAGTAATCCCCAGAAGACAACAGGTCGGAGCGTACACTGTTCCAACAATCTGTATTTTTATTCTAAATGCTACATAAACACGGAATAAAATATTGTTTCCTCTAAGAAACTTAGTTTGGCTTGGTAAATAAAAAACAATTCCATAGTGCTACCCAAGGACACTTTTCAGTGAGAGTGGTTTGAAAGCTGTTATTTCAAACCTCTACAATTTTGAATGAAAGAACTGCTAAAAAAATAGATTGAAATAGGTTTTTAGGAACACAAAAAAGGTGTTAGTCATTTTAAAAGAAATAAGCAGTACTGTAGTACTGCTTATTTCTTTTAATCCTAAAGGCATTTTCGCTTAAGCATTCTGAAACAATAACTGTTCTAGGAAAAGCCTTAGAAGATTTGGTCCATATGAATTCTTTGAATTAAGGGCAATTTATTCTGCAGTGTTAGGGAACTGCACAGCTCTGACAAAACACCAGGGTACCCTCACGTGCTGCCCTCCCTGCCTGTGCCTTTTTGGTATCCAGATACCTCCTGGCTGCACTGCTGTGACCGCCCGCCCAGGCTGCCCTGGTGGCATTGCCCAGAGCCCAGAGTTGGTGGGGCAGGATTTTTACCTGACCCCACACTTATTTTCAGGGCCTTCCCCTGCAGAGCAAACCCCTCTGGGGTTGGCAGGGCAGGGCCCTGCTAGGAGTGAGGGCTGGTGTGGCACACCCCCTGCTCCCTCTTCCACCCCCTCACCATCTTTGGGTGGTTAGGGGACCCGATCGCTGCCTTGCGCAGAGCTTGTCAGCCAGTCAGCGAGCCATGCCTCCCCCTGACCAGCATCTGCTCCCATCACAGCTAAAGGCATCAAAGGCAGGAATAGCCTATGGGGTGTGAGTAGGTCCTGATGGGAGCTGTTGGCCCCCACCTCCTGCTCCCACTGTGAGGAACAGCCTTCCCTGGCCCTTGCCCTCCCTTCTTCCCTCCCTCACAGATGTTTTGGGGATGTCTCCCTGTGATAGTTCCACTGGGCTAGCCCTTGGCCAACAGCCAACACATTCCCCCCACCCCCAGAGGACAGGGAGAGGTTTGGGGGGCAAGGGTAAGGAGGCTTGTAGGTTGAGATAAGAACAGTTTAATAATAGAAATAAAAGAAAACTTAAAATAATACTGATATTAAAATAGTAGTGATAATGATAACAGTTACAAAATATACAAAGGAGAGATACTCAGTGCAACTGCTCACCACCCACTGACCGAGCCCAGCCTGTCCCCAGATAATGATCTTGGAGGAGCGACAATCCCGAACTGAATCCCGGAAGAACGAGAGCCCGACTGAAAGCCGGAGAGGGCCAAAAAAGGAAGAGTCCATCACTAATATACTGAACATATGATATGATATGATATGGAATATGCCATTGGCATTTCCAAATGCCAATTTAGCTTATTAATGTAAATATTCCTCACCCTTTTAGATCTTGTGCTTGTGGACTAACAGAACACAAAGTCTTTCACTTCTAGTAACAAAAATGCAAACACTGGTATGTTATCAGTGTTTCTCTCATAACAAATCCCTGGCTGAAAAGCAAAATGCAGCACTGTTCTAGCTACTGAAAAAGAAACCCAGGTCTGTTTCAGCTAAAAACCAGGACATCCCTGAAAGTAATATTCACTGTGAGAGCTGGCATATGCCATCAGCTAACAAATCTATGTGTGTGTGAACTTGTGTCAGTGTCTTCTGTGCAGCGGTATTACAGGAAAATAAAAAGCCAAACAAATGTTACAATCATGTTCTGGTTGACAGTTTTCTCACTAGGTATAGATGACGTGAATTCTGTCAGCAGTGATGTTCTAGTCTGTTGGCTTGCTCATGCCATACACTGCTGCCACGTTCTCTTTCTGCTGTTGGAAAAGACATGCAGTCACAATGTGCTCATGGTGCTTGGCACAACCTCAAGGAAGGCAGACTAGGTTATGGGAATTTCTGTTGTTATTCATGTGGGTTAGTTTGAATTTTGATCAATGTTTCAGATTTAGTTGAATTTAAAATTCCAAGCAAGTCTAATTTGGGATCAATTTTAATTTTTTAGCCTTATTGCTAATCAACATTATTGCTAGTAGCTTCAGCTATTACTGTAAAATGTCTGTCAGAACAGTATTAGGTACAACTGTTTCCTGAACGTGTACACATCAGGATATAAGAATTTGCCTTTTAACATAATTTAACATATGCTGTCTGCCTGCCTAAGTTAGATCAAGTTTTGGAACACAGGTACTTGTCACATACACCACATACACCACATTCCTCATGTGATAACAAAGAAAAAGTCTGTGCATCCATCCCAATGCAGATACTGGAGCAAGTGGATGTTTCCAAACAGGCCAGTGGACAAAATAGTTTGAATAGAAAAGTTCATAAATTTTTAGCAATTTTTTGCCCTGGAACAAAGATAGTTCTTCATAATCCTTGTGCCGTGTGTTCTGTACATATCGTGCTAGATAAAAATGAGACTGAATGTGGTGCTTGCCTGGACACATGTTGTGTGGGTGTCAGTTCTGCCAATGGAAGTGGAAAAAGAACGGTACAAAATGCCGATTACAGCAGATGCATCTGACTGTTGGAAATAGTTAGGCTTTCTGACTAGTGTGTTTGCTATTTCAGCACCAGGACTTCAGAATTACTTGTTTTAGCAGTCTCTTAATCTCTGTATGATGCATAAGCATAGAAGTAGTGAAACACAGGACTGGAAAAGACCTCAGGAAATTCTCTAGTTTTTCCGCCTACTCAAAGAAAGGATTAAGCATGTCTATGTCATTCTTGACAGGTGTTTGCTTAGCTTATTCTTACAATTCTCAGTATTGGAGGTTCCCTAGTGTTTCTAGGCACCTACTGAAGTACTTACATGTCATTAATGTTAGAATGCATTACTTCATGTCTAACTTAAATTTGCCTTATTTCCCTATAAGAAACTGACAGTCTTCTTTTTTCCTCCTGCCTTTTTTCTTGGCATCTCTCCTACCCTGTTCTGAGTTGTTCAAAGTCTTTTCTTGAAATCTCTTACTTCACTTGTTCTCCCTCCTTGCATGATGATGCATTTGCAAACTATTGCTTTCATAGTTGCTCTCACCCAAATTGCCTTCTGTCTTCATGTTCTAATCTATTCCTTCTCACTGTTTAGAATTTGGTCTGATCTTCTCCCTAGTTATCTTCTCATATTTTTGTATCAAAAAATCTTCCCAATACCTCAGCACAATTTGGAGGGAGGAACAACAAGCTAATTCCACCAAGACAAAGAAAAAAGCAATTTTGCCCTTAGAAAGGTATTATGCTTTCTTGAATTATTAATTCTGTCCATCGTCTTTCAGCATGATGTCACAGAGTCAGAGCAGTAGTGAAGCCATAAAATGGCTTCTTACATCACCCAACAATATGTAGGTGACACTGAAGCCCATGCTGATGATTTTTCTTTCTGTCTTGCCACGTCAAATCTGTGCTACACCTCGTCTGTAAAGTTGGGAGCTGATCATTTTTTCAGACTGTGTTAGCTGCTGACTGTGACCAAGTTCCAATAGATGGGCCTGGAGGAAGGAGGATGCACCCTTGACTTGTTGATTCTTCTGGTGCCCGTAGGCTGGTGGGCTGCCAGCCTTGTGCATTACTTACATGAGCACACGTGTGTATTTGTATCACGTGACACCTCTCTCCACCCTCCCCCATTCAGTTTGGGACACTGTTCAATTTGGCTGTCCGATTTCTTCAGTGTAGTTCCTGGTTATCTTCCCTCTCTTCTTTAAACACATGAATGAATTTTTCCCTGACAAGATTAATCAGATGGGTCATGTAATTTTGGAACAGAAACAAGGCTGCCTAAGCAGTGCTAAATATAGTAATATTTAGAAATTTACCCAAACCCAATGTTAACACGTAAAAAAAAATTTTCTGTCCAGCTTTTCTCCAGCACCATCAGTAATGTTCATTATACTCCATGGGAACAGATCAGAATTATTATTTTGGGACAACTTTGAAAAATCTGTTCTTCATCATACATGCCTTCTAGTTTACTAACTCTTGAAGGTAGAGGTGTCTTGCAAAAAGTAACAGCTGTAACCTCTGTCAGTAACAAATTTATCATTGTTTTCTCAAATCACTAGTCTAATAATAATAATCTGCATCCAAGCCTCTCCTTCAACTTGGATTAAATTAGTGTTCCACAGGGGAAAGTAAGGCTGTGCTCCTTTACGCTAAGCTGCCAAATAAAATACAATTTCAGAATGCTGAAAAAAAAAATTAAAAATTACAACTTTACAAGTGCAATTTTAGCAGCTTTTGCATAAGAACTCGGATATAAAGAATGACTATTGCATTTAAGTAGCACTTATTGATTCTGAAAATGAAATTATGCCTTACACCTCTGCAACACTTTGGAATTTTTATTCTGTCTTCATCATTCATGCGATAATGGAAAGACTCATAGTGACTTCACTGAAATGAATTTTGGACCAAGTTTTAAGGCCACATCCTAGCAAGAAGGCATTTTGAAAATGTTGCTTCTGCATTTTGGTCCCAAAAATTTGTCTCAGTTTGAGCTCTGGTAAGGAGCTTGCACATCTAGAGTCTTGATGCTGAGATATGTCTGTCCTATCTCACATTATTATTAATCACTTGTTTGAAAACAGTGAGACATTTTTATACTTTTCTTAAAACAATACCAGCATCTGCCCTGGAGTACTTCTTTGTGAAGAATCTGAGCACTGTGGTGCTCAGCTGACTTTTTATAAATGGAGGAGAATGAAAACAAAAATATAAATTATTCCTATGTCTGGGTTTTCCACTATAAGCACTCTTCTCACGGTCAGTGGTCTTAATTGTTATGCCTTAGGACAGAAATTAAGTTTTGGTACAATTGCAAATAAGTTGGTTTTTTGGTTTTTTTTCTATTCTTAACAAAATGATGTAGAGGAGGAAGTTAATTTGACCTTTGTTTCTGATCCTAATTCACTAACAGCCTTGTTATGAATGTGATGCTAAAGCAGGTGGGAAGTTAACACATGTGGAGTGAGCCAAATGCAGTTATAAAGCGGTTTCTCTGATCTTTAGTAGACTCCTGCCCTTTGTAGTTTTGGGGAGATGACCCTGTTCCTTGCCAGGTCAGGGAGGGAGTGTTCTTACATGAGAATACATAGTTTCTTGACTATGTTGACTATTCTTCTTAATGTTATGAATCTTCTGCAGACAGCATCTTAGTGAAATTTAGTGGCAATAGTTCAACAGCTTGCACGGCATACTGACAGGTAACTTCTATCAATCTGTTTTGATTATAGCAAAGCACCAAAAGTAATAGCAAAACCCCACGGACTTCTGAGGAGAGTATACAAGTAAAGTAATCATTAAAGCAGACATGCTGACTTTCACTGTCATATCAATAAAAGCTTGCATTTCAGTAGACAAGCAATTGTTGGAGACATCATTCTGCACTAGGGGTTGTAAACAATTTGCTTCTGTATAAATAGGCATGACCTCTTACTGCCAAAATCAGCAGTGATATGCATATTGTATTTAAAATAGGATATAATTGTTCACACTGTTTCTCTGACAGGCTTTGCTCGTAATCTCTCTGAAGGAAGCAATGCTAACTATACAGAATACGTGGCTACCAGATGGTACCGCTCACCTGAACTCTTGCTTGGGTAAGTACAGTTTGTAGAACTTCCATAATAAATCTTGACTGTTTCTTTACGGGTTTTTTTCAAGCTTCTTTTGTAAGATTTACCCATGGAGCTGTGGTTGATTTAAAGGGAAGATTTCAAGAGGCTTCCAGATTTTCATTAATTTTTGTTAGTTGCCAGTAAATCGACGTGAATCATTGACATATTGACCTGTCTTGAGCTGAGCAATGTTTAACTACTAAAATATGAAGCTAAATTATAACAGGTGTACTTCAGATTCCAGCCCCCTGCATTCCCTTCAGAAGAGGTTTCCATGGTAGTCCTGTAGCCTGAAATGTTTCATCAGCCTTTGTGGTGGACACCACATAGCAATGGCAGTGCAGCTTTCACCGTGCTGCACTCCTAGTTCTCTTGATCCTTTGGGTCAAAACTATGATTTGGTTTTCATTCCCAGTTAGCCTTTAGCAGCACCGCTGAAGTGGCTCAGAAGGATGGCAATAGCTTTTTAGTAGTCAGGAGGAATTTATTGAAGGAGGCTGTATGAATCATTCTAATAAAGCACTGAGAAGTTGCTGTTGCACTGCCTGTGAAAGCAGTAGTTTCATGAGTAGCCTCAACCAGACAATTTAGTTTTACTCTTGTATTAATCTGTAAAATGAGTGGTTTACTACCTCACAAGGTTAAACAGATTTTCAGATACTATATGAACAAATTTATAGGACTCAAAAGGGCAAAGGAAGAGACAAAAATAACTGGAGATCTACTATATGTGATCTTCCCATTACTATCAAGTTTATCAGTGCATTATTCTAAACTACATGAACACTCTCATAGAATACATTTCCTGTATGTATGGCATATATGTTTTTATATACACATATTCTAGAAATAAGGAATTGGTAGCCACAGGATGAATCAAAAAAAATACTGGTCACTCCTAAGATTCTTGAAGCAAAATGCTTCATGCTGCTGAGAAACAAGTCTTTTTTGGGGGCTTTGATTAACACTTAACTAAACATTTCTTGAATAGGTAAAGCATTAGGTAATAATTATTCTGTCAATAAAGTCGTCCCAGTATTCCTAGAAGCAGTGATAATCTTAATCAAATTTGTAGGCAGTTGTGTTGTTACATGGCAAATAGTATCTTAAAGTTGCCGTTAAAAACCTCAAAGCTCAGTTTTTCATATTTTGGAGAAACATTATATTAAGCTCCAGGAAAGTGCATGTGTGTATGTGTATATATAAGTATAAAAAAAGACTTGGACAGAAAGCATCAATTGTGACCTTTTTAGTTACACAATATTTTACTCTTTGTCTATAGTAGTGATGATGATTTAGGAGGAAAGACATGAAAAGCTTGACAGACATAGTATTAATTTCACCTGCAGTTTTCTAAACTGTTTCTTTACCAAAGGAAATTTAGCAGGAATCACGTATGTTTGTAATTGACTAAATTTGTTTGATAAGCTTGCACAAAAAGGGAGGGGGTATGTGTATTAAATGCGTATGGCTTCAATTTTGCTGGTGTATGTTTTTAATGCCAAGTTTTTATGGCACAAAGTGATGTCTGTTTCTTGGCAATCCTGTTCTATTTCCCAGACGCTCATCTTACCTGTTGTCCCTTCCTCTGCATTTACCAAATCTTTATAAGCATGTTAATATATGCTTAATTATAAGCATAAAATATGCTTAATATTCAGAAGTCTTCCCAGTATTATTAAATATATATATTTTAACAAATACAGTTTTACTTTTTCAATTTTTTAAATGTGTCCTAGAGAGATTTCTGTTTTGCAATCAAGTTCAAGACTTAAATTTCAGGAGAGGAAAGAATTAGCTGTCTAATTATTCACAGAACATAAAAAAATCTACTCACTTTGGAGAGCCTCAGGTAATTGTTAGTGGAGTACTCTGTACCATTGGATGACAAAATACTGCTAAAAGCCAGTAGATTTCAAGGCATACCAAATTACTAGGTGAAAACATGTTTTGGGAGAATCTAATTTGTGCAGGAATAGGCTATAGTATTTCTGATTTGTAGTCTTTGTCCTATAGGAATTATTTCATTTATCCAGCCGCATCACTCTTGCATTGTTTGCCTGTTGTCATCTGACAAGACTGATCCTGATGGCAGAACAGCAGTCTTCAGCATGCCTTTTCGAACAAAAAAGTTACTGTTTACTCTGCTACTGCCTTACGAAATGGGTATTTTCTGATTTGTTTCTGTTTGACCACACAGTAAATACTGGAAACTTCTTAAACTGTGATTCAGCTTCCTTTATTCATGTGATCAAAGAAAGGTAATGGTCCTTGCCTCAGAGGAGTTTTAGCCCCATTTCTCAGTTGTAACCCTAGCTTGTTCTCCAATGCTCCAACCTACATCAACCCTTTCCCCATTTCACATGTCAGTTGAGAATCCTGCCTATTAAAGGGGTTGCAAATAAAGATGCGCTTGTTTTTCTGTCATAGTAAAAAGGTAGGGTTTTAGTTGCAGTCTCACAAACTGTTTTCCTTACAGAGCTTCAGTTTTCCAGTACAGGCATGGAATATCTTAAGAGCAGATCCTTGGCTTTGGAGTCTGTTCTCATCTGTGTTGTCTTTCACAGCATGGAGAAAAACTAGTCCTTCCTTAGCACTCAGACCTGACCTAATGGGTGGGTTGGACCAACAGCATCACACAAAGAACAAACCTTGAGTCTCTCAACAAATCAACTAGTAGTCACTAGGCAAGATTAGTAAGGGAATTATGAACCCACAGAGCCATTGTAGTAGGAGTACTTGAGTTTTGGCATGTTCTGCTTTGCCACTGGTGGTTCCTTGTCAGCAGTCTATTCCAATGGGGCAAACTTTGATTTTGTGATGATTGTTTGTGAAAGGACTGCAGTGTCTCATGGCAGATTCTGAAAGACAAACAGTTCTTGAAATTTTGGCATCCTACTTCAGCTTTCCTAGCTACCATAGACTCCTGCACTAGGCATCTCAGTGGTCCTGTAGTTTCACTCATGCTGTTGTCCAGCTAGAAATGCTTTCTCACCTTCACCTAATTAAATCATCACAAGGGTTACAGGGTCCTCTGGCCAAGTGTTCTCCCTATAAAGTGAAGTAACTAACCATGAGTAATCAAGGGGGAAAAGTCAGATATTGTTTTTCTTTAGTTTGAAGGGTGTTCTGTTTTTAATCATCAACATAAGGAAGGAGCGAAGGGAACAGATTTAGGATAGGATTTGTCACCTGCAACTCCTGGTGTGCTGTCTTATTCCAGAAATAGGCAAGCCAGATGTAAATTAAAAATCTCTTGAAACAGAGATTGAGTTGTTGGATTACACATTTCAAGAAGAAGAGACTTGGTGAAATATGTTTTCAATTCAGTCTTTGTTCCAGTCTTTATTCTTTTTACATGCTTTTTCTTTGACATGAGAAGAATTCACTGATCGTACTGCTCAAAACTTAAACATCCAGAAGAGATTCCTGGAATAAGTTGGATAATTAGAAAAATTATTTACAAATTCAAAAAGCAAGGACTCAAGTGTACAGAAAAGGAGTTGTTTGGTCTATAGTAAGAACAGTGAAAAGCCAAAAGTATGTAATGCATTAGATGTTGCACAGTTGAGGTAGGCAGCTGAGCAAACTTGCCGAGGAACAGAACCTTAGAGTGAAAATCAGAAACTGTCCAAAAGGATTTTGTGTTTCTTCAGTGTTTGTCCCTTTAGCCTGAATATTGCAGTAGTCTCCCACTCTCTTCTTTTCATACAAACTTCCATTCTCTGATTTTCTGTCCTACGTGTTTTACAAACCATCCTCAAGCCCATAGTCTCTCCTGATTAGAGCATCCATATTGCCTCTTCTATTAAATACCCTTGTATGTAGTCTCAAGAAATTCTAGTATAGCCCTTGCTGGTGTAAGACTCACACCACTTAGTTTTGTTTCTGATGAATTCCATACACCTCTTCATTGTCATTAGCAGTTTAAAATACCGTGTGCCATCTTCCCCACCACACAACATTGCTTGCACGCACAGAGACCATACATCAGATTTTCTCCTGAAAACCCCACCTGTGGCTTTGCTCCAAAACAGGAATTACTTATTTTACGATGCTTGCATTCCTTCCTCACCTGTGGTTTTTAAGGAATAGTTTTCAGGGGCATTCTGTTTTCTCTTTAGTTAAAATTTCACTGGATGAATGTTGAAACAAAGATTGCTTATCATTTCTGTTCTCCCAGGGGCCAGACCTAGTATAGCTTATCCCCATGTTAAGCACAATGGAAAAAGAAACGGAATGCAGATATAGAGCACAGCCATTAACCCCTGGAGAGAAGGGAAATTAGTGCTAGTTTAACTGGGAGTGGTAACTGCTCTGCAGTCCAAAAGATTATTCTTGTACGTAAGATTTTTTCACAAAGGTAACAAGATTCCTGGGGGTACTTGAGAATTCCTCTCCTGCCTTTTCAAGCAGCAATATCTCAGGCAATCCAGGGGAGAAACAGAGGGCCTGGTATTTGAGGTAGTTTCTTTAATATTAAAGTTTATTTTCCTGCATTGTAAGGGAGTGGGCTGTGGGAAATATGGCCAATAAATTGAAACAGCTCGGTAAGAAGACAGTGTCAATGGGTGAAAAACGTTGTACATTCACTTTACAGAGCCCCTTATGGAAAGGCTGTGGATATGTGGTCCGTAGGCTGTATCCTGGGAGAGCTGAGTGACGGGCAGCCCTTGTTTCCTGGCGAGAGCGAGATTGACCAGCTCTTTACCATTCAGAAGGTGCTAGGCCCACTGCCAGCTGAGCAGATGAAGCTATTCTATAGCAACCCACGCTTCCATGGCTTGCGGGTAAGAGACAGCTTTGTTCTATTTTTTTTATTTACTTACACAGTGTTTACACTATTGTCACTGCTGCTGTGAAGGTTCTTTTTATTTGCGTTGTGTGTTATCTATTGCATGTGTTTCTGTGTACGTATAGGATATTTAATTATAAGATATTTAGAGTCATAATTCAAAGTAAAATTCTGCTTACACTGGAAATGAGTTTTATAAATATGTTCAATTTACTGTTAAAAGTTGATTCAGGAGTTTGTTTCATTTCTTTCACTTTTTTCGTATGCAAGCTAGCATTTATACCCAGCTTAGCATTACTCTGCCATGTTTGAACTGTGAAGTTTAGTGGCATAGCTCTGTCAGTGCAGAGTGTGAAAAATTCATGTCTGCTGTCTTCAGGCTATGTTGGAAAAATCTGGACCATAGATGCCACTATCATGGCAGAAGAGCTTTTTGCCTTTTGACTTACAGTCCTGGGGAGTTGATGTAAGCCACATGAGTAAAAAAGCTCTTCCTACTGACAGTAGCGTCCCCCTTCAAGGGTTTACCAATACTGTGTAATGACAGAGACTCGGTAGTGTGGAGAAGCTGCTCAAGTTTGGACATGAAATATGGCAAAATCCCAGAAGCAATATATAAGTCATGTCTCTGTGATCTTTAACAATACCTGGTCAGTGATTGTACTCATGTTTCCTTTTAATTCAGTTTTGGTTGTCATTTTATATTAATGACTGTTGCTTACAAAGGTGAATTTCTGATCTTGATAAACGGTCTGAAATCATTAGAGTAAAATCCTATAAAGAGACATGCAGAGGTTTTGGGAAACTTGATCTGTGCTAAAGACTTGAGATTTGAGTTTTACTCTGTAAAAGAGAAAACAGAGAATGAGAAAGGGAAAGCGAGTGAACCTAGTTGTCTTAAAACATGTTAAAGGTTGCCATAACTTGAGTTTAGCTTATGATGATAAGAAATAGTTGGCCTTAAGGTGTTAGGATAATTATTTAGCTACATGGATAGCTAATTCCTCAGAGATTTTGTTGAAGTTTGTAGACCCTCCATCAGTGGAGGGTTTAAAAAAAATCACTATACAAGCATTTCTTGAAAAGTCCTATGTGTATTTGATGCTGTTTAGAACAGTGGGCTGGACGGGATTTTCTACTTTTAAAAAAATTATACCCCTTATCAGGAAAGCAATGCTCTAAATGTTGTAAGCAAAATAAGTTACTGCCTCTTCAACATTATTTTACAGCAGTTCTAGTTGTGCAGTATGATCTTACTTGGATAAACGCTCTGTAATGTCTTAGGATGAGAATTAAGTATCTTTGTTTATAGCTTTGAAATACAGTAATTCAAGAAGACAGCATGGACCTAATGTAATTAGCATGGGGTTGAGAGTTATGAGTCTCTGTTCTCATCCTGGATCAATGGTTTGTTACTTGGCCTCAGACATGTTGCTGCCGCCTTAGCCCCATCTGTAAAGTCAAGATACTAATGATGAGGACAGTGACATATGCCTTCTAATAGAGTAGTTTTTTAATACTGAAGCAAAACCTGAATAATGTCTTAAACATGAAAAATACTCTAAAAAAAATTGGTTTGCAATGTCATATTTATTAGTTAATTCATGGGAAAAAATTATTCCATGCTATAAGACAACCTTAAAAGTACATTTTTTCTGAATGTAGCATAGTGCTTAATAGTGGAAGATTTTCTGTTGCATAGCAGATAGCAAGTATGCCGTGATCATGCAAATTATTACTTACAAGCTGTATCTGGCACAGAGTGTTCACAAGATAAAAACTAGCCCATGATGTGGAATAGTTTATCCATGTTTAGGCTTTGTGAATTTCTACATTACTGTAACTGTGTGTTACAGTACTGTAGCACAGGATTTAAAAAATTCCAATACAGACGCTCCAGCACCACATGCATGTGTACACAGATGCACATTTGCACACTTTCTGTCTTTTCTTCCTGCTTACTTCTTCCATGCACGTGTGTGTGTGTGTGTGTGTGTGTGTGTATACAGACTATTCCTTGCTCCTGAGGTTTAGGGAGCATTTAATGATCTCTTTTTAGCCCTTTTGAGGAAGAAAACATCATAGTATGATGAAGGCCCAAGGAAATAAAGTAGTATGGGATCAGAAAGTACCAATAGGCTTATGCCTTTATGGACAATGTGAGTGGTAGTGCAAGGCTGTAAATATTGTTCTACAAATACGTAATAAATAAGCTGGAGAATCTGAACAATCCCAGTGAGTAGCCATCTTGTATTACTGCTTTGCATGACTCCAGGATGTTTCCATGTTTCCCTGACCATTCCAGATGTAAAATCTTTAAGACGGTCATTTTACATGAAGACAAGAAATTATTTGCCGTTTGGTTCATGTAATAAGTGGAGGAAGCATGGAAGCCTTGGTTCACCTGAGTTACTATCTAAGATCAACATAGCCAGCTTGGACTTATTCTTAAAATTCTTAATCATTAGTAAACCACTTCAAAAGAAAACAAAAAAAAAAAAAAAGACTATTTAGGAACAAACACATTGAACTAATGTTCTTTCATTTTCCTTCAAAGCTCACATAATATAATTTCTGAAAAGTAATGCCAGTACAAACGATGGGCAGCAATTCATAGTGATTTAACACTTATGCACGTACAGTGCACATGCAATGCGTTTTGCTTCCAAATAAAATGTTTTTTTGGAAATGAGTGTTTATGCTGGGTTTCTCTTTAAAGCATAGATTTGAAGCTAGTATTTAATCTGAGTAAGGTGACCATTTAAATATATGGCCTCAAGTTGTGCCAAGGGAAGTTTAGGTTGGATATTAGGAACAATTTCTTTACTGAAAGGGTTCTCAGGCATTGGAAGGGGTTACCCAGGGCAGTGGTGTAGTCCCCATCCCTGGAGGTATTTGAGTCATGTAGACAGTGCTTAAGGACATGATTTAGTCAAGGACCTGTCAGTGTGAGGTTAATGATTGGACTCCGTGATCTTAAAGGTCTTTTCCAATCTAGGCAATTCTGTGATTCTAACTGTAACAATCCCTAGATGTAAATGAGAACTGAAAAATGCACAAGTGAAAGTAAAGGAATTAAAGTCTTTAAGACTTCCTGCTCATTGACATTTTAGACCAAATGTATCATTCTCTTATATTTTTATACTATAGCAAACTTCCACATAAAATGTTTGTCTTCATGTTTGTTGATTTATTTATTTTTTTATTGCTGATGTCTGTCTTAATCACTGACTTTAATTTTGTTGTTATCTTGTATTTTCAGTGGTTTTTAACTATAATTCAGTATTTTATGTGGGTATATTTTATGTATGACTTGAGCCCATTTGGACATAGAGTGATGGCTTTTACGTACCAGCAGATGGGAATACTGCATGCTTCCTATTGTCAGAATTCTTGCTTTGATGTGTTAGCTTAAGAGGACATTTTAGAAAATACATAGGATGTGGATGGGATCAAGCCAGGCTGCAATTGAAACACTTGCATAGTATTAGGCAAATTCCACAACTCTGGGAACTGTTAACAAAATGTCTGAATCTCAGTTGTGTAGTTTTGGATAAACTGATTAATGCAAACAGGCTGACTGATTGTTGTTTTGGTTTGATTTGTTTTTTTTCCAGAGGCTTGTCTGGTATTTAGATGTGTAATTTTCTCCAAAATCAGCATAAGTTGCATCCATGAGGGTTTTTTTTTATGCTTCTGTTGGAAATCCAGACTTTATTTCTAATTCTGAAAACACTAGCTTATACATTTAGTTTTTAAATTTTTATTTACCTCACTGAAATCAGTTTTATCTATTCGTTTGCTGTCAGTTCAATGCATGCTGCAGCCTGGAAATGGGTATCTGTTGTCCATTTCTTTTCCACTCATTATACTTGATATAATGTTACAGCAATGACATATTGATAAAAAGAAAAGATTCTATCTTGATTTTATTTAACTCTTGCCTTGTTTACAAAGCAAGCAAAAAGCCCCAGTTCTGTGCTTTATTTTTTCTTTCTCCAAATCATCCCTGCCTGTCCTGTTCTTTCCAGATAGGGCTAATTTCAAATACTGCCTTCACTAGGTTTTGTCTAGACTCTAGTTGACAAAAGATGCCCTCCAGCAATGTGCTCTACTTCTCATGGTGTTGCTGGTTCTTACTGCAGCATGACCACAGGAGTAATCCTGAACCTCAAACCTTCAAGTTTTTTATGTTTATCACTAAAAAGATTTTGGAATTGTCTGTTAATCTTTGGCATTTAATTAGTACTGTATTTCCATTCTAGAATTCTCTCAAAGCTATTTTTAATCCTTTTTTAAAAAAAAAATATATATATATTACTTATGTTGTTTCTGAATCTTATTTTAGTCCTCCCACCTTTTGTCAATCATAATGCTACAAACACATTTATAAATCTGATCATTTCTCATTTGAGAGAGATTCCTTGACTGCCCTGCTAATAGAGAATAATTTATTTGGTTAACTTGATGCTTATTGTACATCAACAATTATTTGTTTCATTATAATGGTTTGTAATGTTTCATAAACCACTGACTTCTTCAGTGCATGTGATTCCCATTAATTGCATGCCTTTATTTACTGTGTAGTTTCTCTGTTTTGAAGTATTGTATTGATGTATACCTTGTTTACATTCTCAATATATTTTTGTGCTATATTATTTTTACAGTTTCCAGCAGTCAATCATCCACAGTCTTTAGAGAGAAGATACTTGGGAATTTTAAGTGGTGTATTGCTTGATCTTATGAAGGTAGGAGAATGTATTTTATTTTCTGTCTATAGTGGATAGAGAAAGATTTAAGAGACTTTTTATCTTTGTTTCCTAATATAATACATCTTAAAAGTACTTGTGAATTTCATTTTGAGATATTTTGATATGACCATCGTTTGTAGCAAGGTTTGGTATTTCCTAGCAATCAGGAAAATACTCCTTGCAAATGCCAGGAGGCCCGTTCAAATTTGATTGATTTGATAAACAACAAGTAGTCCAGACAAAAGAATCACCGTCATTTGCAGCAATATGTCTTCACACTGACGTACATTCAGATGCACAGGTTACCTTAGTAAAGCTGGAGTATGAGCTCCCAACCCATAATAAATTTAGGTAAATCCAAAGAGTATAACCTGAGTTGTTCATTTGTTACTGGATAAGCATGAGGATGTGGACAGTTGTCAAAGACAAAGTTGACACACAGTAATTTTTTTATATTTCTTTTTTTTTTTTTTTTTTTTTTTTTAAACCTGAGCATTTAATCTGCTTGCTATCACTCATCTCTGCACAGTGTGTATGTTAAATTACTCTTCAGTCCTGTTTTGGAACAAGTCAGTTTGTTACCCATGGCCGAACCAGGATACGGTCCTGAAATAGTTTCTTACAGGGGATTGGGAGAAGCTGGCTCCCCTCAAAATGTAAAGTTGTGTAAAGCATTGTGCTATGCATTTGTGCCATATTCCTGGGTATGCAACACGTATTGTTGTCCTTAGTATTGTACTATGAAAACATCACCTTGGTAAGCTGCAGTGCAACCTTCCCATTATTTCATCCACAGTAAGCTGGGGAAAAGAAAAGAAAAAAGTTATAGTATCAAAATTAGGTTTAGAATCACCGAGGTACCACTTAAGAATGAAAGGCAATCTGAGACAAATCTGAAGTGTGCATATGGCTAATCAGCTCTAAAGGACTTGGGACTACACAATTCAATCTGTGCTGATTGCCTTGGAAACCAGAGGTCATCTGCTTTGGCGTATACTTGGGTGTTTACTTGCTCTTATCAGTATTGATGTAGCCAGCAGAAATCCACCAAATTTGCTCTACTTTTTAATGCAACCGGTTCAAATAACTTTCATTTAATCTCCCTGCCTTATGAAGAGAGTCAGCATAGCTTTTATCTTGGTTTCATGGAGTCTGCAAAATCAGACACCTCCATATATATAATTGCTTGGGTTTTGGTTTTATACATTCTTGTCTGTTTTATAATTCACAGAAAATTTTTTATGGTGTCATAGTTAGCTGTAGCTCAAGATGTAGTAGCATGTATTGCAGAACAGCAATTTCAAGATCATTCTTCAAACCATTGTTACGTGTGCTGGGGTAGGGTTTATTTTCATTTTATCCTAATTTTTTGTGTTCTATCTCAGTGTCTTTTGGATTCTTTTGGTGTGATTTAAAAGTTACAAAGTTGTGAAATGAAGCACTTGAATTCTAGGGAAACAGAGGTTTCCAAATAATTCCATTCCACTTTAAATAATTCTTTTCAACTTTTCTGTCCGTA